TTTATATCGACGATCATTGAATATCGATTATTATTAACACATTATTCTCATAAACTTTTATATTCTATTCTATTTAAGGAAATACATGTATTTTCAATGTTTCTTTTTCTTTTTTTTATATATAAAACACGAAACATCTGTCCGTAAGTAAAAGAAAACTTAAGAAACTTACAAGTTCATGCTTAAAATGTCACCGATATTAAAAGACATAATTTCCCCGGAAAGGGAAAAGATTTGAAATTTTCTCGCCCTCGTAAATTCGTGACTAATCGTAAGACAAGAAAACTACTTTATTAAAACTCGTAGAAAACCGTGAGAATCGAAAGTAAAATTATAATAATTTACGACTCGATAATATCCTGTTCAACGATACTGTAAATCAAATTTAAATAATTCGACAATTTCCTCGTATCAAAATTAATCCAACGGTAAGAAAAATTAACGGATGGAGAATAACTTCAGTAGATCGATATTTCTAAAGTTTCGTAAAAAAAATTCACCCCATTAATAAAACATTCGTTCTGAATTTCAATGGGCGGGATAAACATTCGTTATTCAAAGGGCAAGACCCTTTCCTCCGTCATGTTCCAATTCCCACCGACTTCTCGACACTGGATTACATTTTAATCTTATACTTTCATCCCGGATAAGCCCGCGTAAATTCTTCGTTATCGCGGAAACGAAACCGTGGCGGAATCAACCAGAGAGATCACCTGCCTAATACTACTTCCCTAAACTTTAAACCGTTGCCAACCATGTTTCCAAAACATGATTCGTTTCGTGATCCCTAATTTTGACATTCCTCACTTCTCGTGACTCGACCCAATTCTTGCTCTTCTTGAACTTTCCCAGGGCTAATAGGTAATAGCTGGTCAGAACATCGTACAAGATCCCGCAAAACTTATCGAACGTCGCATAATTACAGATTAATTCGGCCGTCACGCGAACGTTGTACTATCAGTCGGCACGAACCTCGTGGAATCGATTATTCGCGGATAAACTTTATTAAATTTAGATTTAGAATCTAAACAGAGAGGAATGGAAAAGATGATTAAAAGTGAACGGGAGACGGTGGAAAAAAATTATTCGTATGATCGATATATATATAAATATCGTTTTAGAATCTAATCTTCTTGTTCCTTTGTACAGAGATACATTATTTTCTCAAAAATATAAAAAAAAAATGGAAAATAAAACGGCTTACTCTAATATCTCTCGAAATAATCCCTGAATCCGAAAAAATAGTCACGTTCGCGTTATAAACCGAGCGACCACGCCTATCAAGAACAAATGTCGACGAGGTAACGTATCGTGGGTTAAGAAAAACCCACGAATGGTTGGTATGTGGTCGCCAGCATTGTTTTCCTACCGTGCGAATTTAAATCTGTAACCGTGGCACGAACCACGCTTGTGCAAACGTGGCCACCAACCCACGCTTAAACAACGGGCATTTTCATAAACGTTGTAAATCAATTAAATTAATTAGATATTCTATTCTATCAACTTCCATCCATAAGCTTCAAATTCAAAACTTTGCAAAGAAAAATGAAAAATAATTAATCGTATTACACTATGTGATTTAAATAAATTCATCATTCGCATCGCGGATTGGGTTCAAAATTTTTTCAAATAAAAGTTTTCCTATCCTTTTATAAGCAAGTTAATCGTACGATCCAAAATCCTTTCGAAACAAAAAAAAAAAAAGAAAAAAATTCGGGATCGCAGTTAAGTAAAATATATATGGAAAATAAATACAACGACAGATTAAACTGTCACCTACGATTTTACACCCCTCTCTATCGACCCACGGATCTCACGCCCCACACGCGTCACAAATCACGGGGTATTCGCGCAACGAAAAATCCACGGCAGGAACGAGAGAAGGAAGATCTTGCTCACGGGGCAAGAATTACGAGGGGGAGGAGGAGGGGGTCGAGGGATCGAGGACAAAATCGATAAGCGTCGTGCGACCATGAATCAACGCCCGATGTGTTTAGACCGCCTGCGGGATTTGGCAAAGGATCCCGCAGGATAATCTCGGCGGGATGGTATCGCCGATGGTGTACAACACGTGCGGAAAGAAGAGGATAAGAAGAACGGACACGAGTGTAACCCGTTATTAAAATTTAATAAAGATACGAGGGAAGGGAAGTATGGAAGAATACTCTGTGTAAAATGAAAGATTAAATTTAAAAAAAAAGAAAGAAAGAAAGGAAGTATGATAGATATGGTATGGTAAAAAAGAATTGGACATTTTTTTTTTTTTTTGAGATTGTAAATTTCTTCACTCTTAATAAGGAAACTCGTTTAATATTCCGTTTTCAAAAATTTGTAATAAGTGTGTAATAATTTTAGCATCTTTTCGTTACTTGTTAATCTTATTCTTTTATAACAAAACGATGGAACGTTAAATTCTATAATATGATCACCATCTTGGAATATTTTGAATAATATTAAAATGCTTCACTTATCGCGTTCATTAAATAAATAAAAAACCAGAGAATTGTTCAAATATTTACGAAGCTAAATTGGAGAAATATATTTAAAAAATTAAAATATTCCAACCACCTTTTCACCTTAAAAATTTCTTCAACGTTTCAGCCTTCAGTGATTCATTGATTCTTTACCTAGCTTGAAACAATATTTCAGCCCCAATTTTAAGACCCAACGAATATATCTTCCCCCTCCACTCTCTTTCCGAGATCAACTACGAGATTGGGCTTGACGACTAAGCATAAAAAACGTGGGAAAATTTGCAAGCACTAGAGAAGACAGGTGAAAAAAAGAGGTTGGAGAAAGGATCTGTCAAATATATCGTTTGAATTCATCTCTTTCATCTTATTCATTCGATATATAAATACCAGAAATCAGTCATTTCAACTGTTTCTCAACGAGTTTCTCAAATGAAGGATTTTATTGTTGAACGGCTCGAAATTATCGTACTCGTTTCATATTCCATGTTCGTTTCTACTTGTCTAGCCATTGCTAGCTCATTCTACTTTTGCCCAGACAAGTGGAATAAGAATATTGCGGATGGAATAAGATCTCGACAATCGCATCACTTGTACATTTCTCTCCTTTAATATCTTGAGTGTTAGTTGAGTTAACAGTGATAAAAATATGTCGCGAAAAATGTATAATAGACTCATAGATATTATCAAATATTAATACAATACAAAGAGAAAGAGAAGGAACGATGTTTCGGAACATCTTCCAATATTTTTCCATTAACGAGACTTATTGTTTCGAAAAACGTGCTAGCTGATAACACACATGAACGCGTGCACTCCGCTCCTCCTGATTCCGCATGGAGCCAGCCAGATAAAAACTTAGGAAAAGAACATTCTGCGCGGTGGAACGTGGCGAATCCTGTATTATCCAGTGGTCGAGTGAGCAAAGTGAAAAGTTGCCGCGAAAGAACATTTTCCGGCGTGTATTCGTGAGCTCGAATACTATTTTTACATGGAAAAATTCACGAACGGAATTTAAACGTATTATTAAGTACACAATTGTCTTATACGATTGGATAAATATTCGAAGATTAATTTTGGAAAAGATATCAAAGATTTATTCAAAGTGAAATGATTCAAACTGAAAACGATAATTGAAAAAAGAAAAAATAAGGAAATGAATATACGATAAGGAATTATCAAAAATCTAAAATTCTTTCTGAAATTTATTTTACTTTCTATATATTTAAAAACATTCCTCCTCCTTGCAATTCTTTCCACCGCGCATGCATTTTTCCTCCAAGACGATGCCTGCGCTTCTGAAGCTGGAAACGGTCCAGAGATATATATAAGAGATTCTGAATCGAACTTTGGTCGTTAGATACACGTATGCATCAAGGATGATGCATCATCCATATTTATCACCCTTGTGAAATGAAATTTTCTTATCCGACCGAATCGTTTACGGATATTCATTGGCATCAAATGACTTGCAAATTGTGAAAAATTTTACTAACGATGCAACTCGAAAAAAATTTCACTCACTTTTACATCATGGTTGAACAACATATTTTGTCTGTAAATATATACATGATTGTCGTTGATAAAACGAACATCCTTTTTCTGAGCCCGTGATTCATCGCATTATTCGCATTATTAAACAGCACCATTTGTATTCGTGTTGCATCTCGTAATTTGTAAGCGTGGAAAATCGAAGGAGTCTTAAACGTAGCGATTTTCAAATCTTTTCCATCTACTCGTAATTTCTTACTCGATATTTCCATGATTCTTGGACCACGGAAATACGGATGCATGATAAACTTCGAATTGGAAATGGTCCAGAAGGCGAAGGATGAAAGATCAGATCTGAATTGTTCCTCGATCGTTGGATGCACTTACGCGTGAATAGCGCGATCTATTGTGAATATTTATTGGCCCTGTAAAATATTTAGAATGGTATGGAGATGATGTAGTTTCATCCATTATTATCATCCGAATCTAGGTCGGTTTGTTTTGCGTCAACACTTTTGTAACAAATTCCAGAATGCTCTTTAATAGCTCTTTATTGTTCAAAATATTGCTCAATAATGAAGGAAATTTAATACCTTTATAATTTGTTTTCAAATAAAACGCAAGAAAAGGATTGAAAACGAAGATATTATGATTCTAGTAGAAAAATTCAATATACAGTTTATTCTTCAATTATTATTTCTCTTTTGAAACCATTAACTATAGAAATATTTTTTTTTATATTATAGATAATATAATTCTTCGCAGTTCTTTTTTACTATCTTCTGAATTAAAATTTTCTCTGAACGTTCCTTTTCACAAACGGAAAACAAATTATTTTAATAAAATATTACAATATTATTTAAATCAATGAAATTGATGTGTCTAAATATATTTTTTACAGTTAAGTGTTGTTATATGCAATGAAGATAATATTATTACTTCAACATGTATGCCAAGATGCAATGTCTATACACCGTCCTTCTAAAATCAATTGACTCAACGATGACAATATCTTAATATCCGTTAATGAAATTTCAGCACCATCCGTCCAAATAGTGGACGCCCTGGGTGAACCTCTGAGAGACAAGTATTACGAGGCTGACAGCACTATAGAGCTGTTATGCGTTGTGCGCCACATAGCAATGCAAGTGCAATACAGTGTCGTGCAGTGGCTTCACGGCAACAGAGTTTTGAACTACGACACGACGAGAGGCGGTATCAGGTGAGTCGAATCATTTTGTTACCTTTTTCCTTCTTTTTTTGAGAATAATTTTAAAGAGAAATCTTTGTACCAAAACCATCGAATCTGTTAAAATTATAAATCTATTACCCGTGTTTCTGATTAAAAGATAATTTATAACGTTTTAAAAGATTCGTAAGATTCATAAATTGCATCCCTCAAGTTGGAATTAAACAATCGGTAATCCGAGCCAATCTTTCAAACTTTCCAATATTCTTCGAACACGGGTAGAGGGAAGAGTACGTAGAAAGATGAAGTTGAAATTAATTTCTATGCAAATGATTCTTAAAAATAAATTCAACGGACGCGCCTGGACGGATATTAAAGAACTGAAAAGTTTAGCAATGGTTCGACAACGTAGATCGAGATCTCTAACATATTTTCCTCGATTGGAAAAAAATTGGAATCGATCTCATTTCGCCTTCCCTCCTCGCAAGTAATCCGGATATGTGAAGGAATTCATTATCTAAATCCCGCATAACTTGAAACGTCCTTCGAATAAATGCATAGAAGTAAGAAGTTCGTTTCGAAATTTAAACGATGTTAAAAAAAAATTAGTAAACAAATTTTCTCTCATCGAATCGAAAACTTACGTGCTAATCTAATTTACATATTTTCCGCTCTTCGAGATCTTAACAATCCTCTAATATATTCAGAGACCAGTGGTACATTTCTCATTCGTTCCCACAATTCACTATCCATCTGTCCCAATTCCTAAACGAGGAAAAAGAGATATCTCTCTAAATAGGGGCGGTATCGCGTACAACCACGCGTAACTCAATACATCCCCGTGCATCAATCCTCCTCGAGAATCCATCTATCCTTCGCACGAGTCAAACACGACAAAACACCCGTGACGCTCGAAACCCAACGATGCAACCTCTCGATACGACCACGATTCGAAACCGAGCACCGAGATACCTTCAACTGTCTGATTGCGACCTGAGGCAAGCGTACACGCCACTTGGCATTCCGTGGATACGAGCGGTCGTAACCACGGCGCGACACGTCATAAATCATGCACGATAGCCGGTTCCCGGAACCGACAATCCTCGGGACATCGATGCCAGGATGGCTCGTTTCGCCAAAGTTATAATCCAGTGTCAACGATTCCGCCTTTCCATCCACGATAGACTCATCCAGCCCCGTAATTCCCCCTATAAACCAACCACAGCCTTGAAAATCGGCGGATGCCGATCGTGAAACAGACAAATGAAACAGTAATGAAAAATTAATGTAATTAATGGGCGAGATGTAATGTAAAAAGTTTATTCAGAAGATAGAGAGATGCTAATAAGATTGAAATGTTAACAAATGTTAATCTTTCATTAATATAAAAAAATTGATGGTATTGTGAAAAATGAAAGGGGAAGAAATTATTAATTTCTTATTAACATCCTTTTTTGATAACTTACAACGAAACGTAAGTGATATAGATAGCGTAGAACAAAAAGGGAATCGCAAGCATAATTGGCAACATAAATCGTTGGGGAAAAGGTGTGCATAAATTGTTGCACGATCCTCGAGTCGTAAGACGATCCTCCGCGCCATCTAGGGAGGGAGAGGCGACACTAAGCCGAGTGTGACGCTTAACGTTTGAACGACAGTGTTGCAGCGGGAACTAGAATGTTTCTCGCATCGCGGAAACGTTGTCGGTGCACTCGACATCCCGACAAAGTTACAAGCCGTAGACACGGTGGTTGCCGGTAAATGGAATTAGTTTGCACTCAGTGGCAGGTACATAAAGACGCGTGTACATAGAGGCTCTCGTAGCATCCTCGTGGGCACTTCAACCCCTTCGTACGTGGCAACCACGTGGCCCGTGGAAACCGCAAACCGTAACCGCAGGAAGCACCGTTTTGCCGCTCGTTATTTTTCGTTAGGAAAAATAACTGTCCATCCCTTCGCCGTGCAAAATACGAGTTTATTCGTCCCCACGATTCATATTCGACGACCGAGCTTTTAATTAATTGCGCGCGAAGTGTTCGACGTGTCGAGGATATCGGAGATGGGGCCTCCGCTCACATCGATCGATGTGACGGAGGTTGAACAAAGTGGATTTTAAGAATGTAGATTCTTCTTCTCGATCGATAAGTTATATTTGATTTATCTTTAAATTTAGAAGATTAAAGATATTATTATTATTGTATATAAGATGATTTAGGAAAGATAAATAAATAAGGTTTTATTTTTAGTTGGTTGGTAGGTAAGGAAAGGTAGACTGTTTTATTGAAATGAAAGAAATCAATAAAAACGAGAATCGTGAAATTATAAATTCGAAGCGTATATCTTTTTTTCGTAGCTAAGATACGAGGAAAATTCAAGTTAAAAGAAGTTCATGCTACATTTTACAATAATACTCGATCTTAATTCATCAGCATACTTAAATATTCATAGGCTGGAATTTCGTATTATTTACGACAATGTTAATTAATGTTTCATTCCTTCCGGCAACGCTGATACGTTGGTTGGAAAAGCTAATATATCAAAATAGACATTATACGCAGCATAATACATCCAGGGAAAAAACTCGTGAACTTCACGCTGCATTTAACGATAAATGTATCTTTTTACGAGTTTTATTAACATAGTAATTTATACATTGAACGAACGCGTGTAATTCATATATTAAAAATAATTCTTCTTTTCGTTATTTTTTTCTTCTTTTTTATACGACGAAATATTTTCTTGTTCTCTTTATAGATCTCTCGTGATTGTTTATCACGAGATGTGATGATATAAGGTATTATTAGTAAGTTTCAATTTGCAGTTTCCCACGATACAATACTCGAGATACTAACGAGATTTCGACAAAACAAACTACAATATTTGTCGAATATCGTTAACCCTATGAAATTCTAAACGTAGTTTCGAAACTACGTATGCCAACTGGAGTGGATATCGCACATATTACATACATAAGAGCTAGAATTGGAGAGAAAATCATCGCTACAAATTGAAATTAAATATTTGCCTTAATCAATCCGATAATAATACTCCATATATTTAACACACTTAAACTTCCCTATCGTACGAAATATTTCGAGCAAATATTTTTATCGATTATTCACCCGCGAGATGATAATTCATTTAAAATTGTTAGCAACAATTTTTATTTATCCAAGCAAGATTATAATTCACAATGCTCGGTGTAGCGATTGCATCAGGTAATAAAACACACTTGTCTCGTTAATTAAGACTTTAATTACTAACAAAATCATTTCACGCGAATTAAATGCTAAACGTGATTACAGCCACGTTGATTGGATTTTCCAAACGTTTAGAAATCGCTGTCGTTAATTCGCATTGATTTTAAATCATACAGTTTTAAAAGTGGATCAAACGCATCGTAAACAGCTCACGTGAAAATCCGCTCTCATTTGTTCCAGCTATTTCACGAGCAATATCGTATAACAACTATTGATTTTTGAGAGAGAGGAAAAGATAACAAACGGCCCTCGTTCATCTCTATCTCTAAACTTCTCTTCGAGAGAGTAAAAAGTAACATTATCAATTGAGAGTAAAAAATTCTGACAAAATTTTAAATGCGTTGCTCTTTCTGAAAGAAGCGAGAAAATTGAAGATTTCTCGTTCGATTTCTCGCTCAATTATTTGAAATAAAAATTGAAAATCAAACTCTTCGACAAATAATTATATCAAAATATTATCGGATATAGGAATACAAATATTCAAGAAATTGTTTAGATTTAATAAAGATCAATTACTTATTTAAGTATAATACTCAATTCTTGATATAATTGTTGACTGAATTCGAAATATTGTTATCCATACCAAAAATTTCTTAAAATAACTCAAATTTATTATTTTCAGATTATTATCAACAATATTGTTCATATTCTTAAAAGTATATTTACGTTCGAACGAAAACACAATCTCCCCATTAACTTTCATTAAAATAAAAAACTCTGTGTAACCGAGTTATAGTTTAAAACAATAGCCGATGCGATTAAATCATTCGTACGCGTTAATAGGGGCGCGATTCAATCCCCGTTTATTATATATATTCGCGGGGGCCATTTTTCATCCCGTTTAAAATTACAGACTCGTGACAAATTTACACCACCGTGGAAGCGTTAATCCCGTTTAATGCAATTTCGTGGAAAAATGTTGGACAATCGAACGAAAGGGAGAATGAAGAGGAAGAATAATGGGGGAAAGTATTCGAGGTGGCGGTATATTAACGCGAAACTGAAAGAAACCAGGCGAGAGGATCGGGGGTTGCTTAACGCCATGGATCAACGAGCAATCGTGCTCGGGCGGAGATAACGAACAACGGACAAATTGCAGCCTGTGAAAAGTTTTTCAATTAAAGGCCACCTTCTGTGTTTCGTGTGCAAAAAAAAGAAAAAAAAAGAAAGAAATAGAAGGCGTTTATCATTGGGTTTAAACAATTGAATTGAAAAAAAAGGGGGGGGGGTATTGTACTTTTACATTTGTCATTAATAATCTTGGATAAGTTTAAAAGGAGGGTGAAAAATGTGAATACGAGGAGAATTTCAATTTTGTACGAAGAGTGCAGCACATTGGTGTTGAATTGTAAGAAAAAAACTTTTATTTTTTTTTTTTTTTGTTTTTGTGAATCTGGTAATGCAAATGCATTCTTTATGAATGATATCGACTTTTTTTTATAGAAATAAGATAAGAAAGATTGTTCTATATTTTTAATTTATTTGTTATTCATTCAAGTTATCAGACAATTAGATATCGTCATGTAAAATGAAATGTTTTAAGAGCACAAATTTTGAACCTTGATTTTTATAGTATATTTTACATGACATTTTAAAAAAAAATCTCTATTTTCAGAGTTCAATTTTCATACAATATTTTATGTAAATCGTATTCCATGTAATCTAGATACTCCATTATAGTAAAATAAGATATCTTGAGAGTTCGATTTTTATGTAATACGATACATAATACGATTCTATATAAAGTGATATTTTGAAAATTTGATTCTCGTTCAACAGAATATTTTAAAAACTCGATTTTTATGCAACAATAGAACTTATGATGCTACTGCTTTAAAAGCCTGATTCTAATGTAAACAGATTTTTTATTAAATTAATATATACCAAATTAAAAAAAATTGTATTATGATAAAATTTTAATCGACGCGTTGAATAAAAAGGGAATAAAATTTTTATTATCTTTTTTACTAGAAATTCGTAGAAACACAACGGTGAAAGGCAAACGGTAATGTTAATCGAATGAACATTTAAAAGAGATCTTTTGATACGTTTTCTTTCAAACGACTATTAAATTTTTTATGATGCACGCGCCATAAACCAATCAGCCTGCACAGTTTATTGCACAACTTTATGACGTATAAATTGTTAAATGATAATTACTTTTCGAACAGAAATAAATTAATTTCACAATTTGTAATATAATCACAATAATAATCAAAAAAATTGTTCCAATATACATTAAATTACATACATCACCGTCCAATTACCAATGAAATATTCTCACGCGAATATTGATAATAAGTATAAAACAAAACTGCCCCTAGTAAAGCAATAATCATACCTGCACGCCAAGATGAAAACGATAGCCTAATATTTATTGCCATGGAATAATTGCTTTACACGCGCACTTTCGTAAGCATCGTACGTAATCTTGAAACGATCAAACCTAATGATTTATTGCTTTACAGCCGCCCTATCATCATAAGAAATTCTTTTGCAATGTCGTTCTGTTCGTGCCTGTAGGAAAATAACACTGTGTTCCTTGTCGGATAGAGCAAGTGGCAGATCCATTACGGAGTAATACCACTTGTAGATGTTCTACTTGCTTTTATAAATTATTTAAATCGAGATTATACAGTTCTTTTTTTTTTTCGCATTTTAATCCATTAATAATGCAGTGTATAAATGGATTATTATTAATGAATCCACCAATTTTTATTTATTCATGAAACTTTTTTTTTGTTTTTTAATACGTAAAATGGAATTTTTATTCAAATTTACGAATTAATAAATTCGTTTATTTCATACTGTTACATTTAAAATGTTTTTTTTTTTTTTTTTTCTATACATCGATAGAATTGATCGATGAAGAGAACATCTGCGCGAATTGATTTTATATGTATATGAATTTTTTTAATTTTCCCCGAGACTATTCGAGAATAAATTGGTAACTATTATCACGTATCCCATATTCCCAGAACGATCAAAATTCTATATGATAATACTTTCCAAATAGAAGTTGATTACATTCATATTTTCCTAATGCATATCAATATCTAATTTTACTTCGATTTCAGCATTAAATATATCACGTGCTATATAATCAGTCGTATCATAATATTTTCATATATTTTAAATCACTTCATCTATCTACGTTTCACGATTCAATTCACGATTTTATGAGGGGGGAAGAAAAACAAAATTTTATCATATTTCCAAATTTGAAACAAAAGTAATAATCTTGGAAAAAGCCAAAAATCTCAACAATCCTGATGATAATTAACAAACAAAAAAGAAACGAATTGAAGAGCGATTAGAAACTCTTCCATAAAATTTTAATATCGAAAGATTCGTATTCACTTTTTTTTTTTTTTTTAACCAATTGAATCTAATCTTTAGGCAAGGAATAAAAGAGAAACTCGTCGTTTGTTTTACCCAGAATGTCATCCGTGCCAAAATCGAGAGTTGAACGCGCGATAAAACGAGAAAGAGTGGTCGATGACTGCGAGAATGCAGTCGAATAAAAGTCTACGATCCCTGAAAAATTGGGCCGAGTATTTTCGCCCGATGAAAAAATGCCTGTCAGAGATTGGAAATTGAAATTTCAACACCTATGTTCCAGCGTGAAAACGGACCTAATGGAAGAGGGGGCCAATTCGACTCTCAGCATAGCGAGGGTGGGACCAGCTGACAGCGGAAACTACACGTGCCATCTAACCACCATGCCCGATCAACCTGCCACCGTTCATGTGCATGTGTTGAACGGTGAGTACAAGCAATTTTCCAACGATTTATCCCGAATTTTTAACGTTTCGTTGCCGATAAATTTATTGCAGAAACTATTGGAATAATTTGGAGTTTAGATTGTCTCGAGAAAATTTTAAAAGAATGATGACTTATAGATAAATTGAATACATTTTTTTCGATTTGGACATCTTATTATTTTATCGTAATTATTGGAATTTCAATCTGATCTAATAATCTGTTTATTTTGTTTTATTATCAGGATATTTAATCTTCTTTCATTTATATTTTACACGTAATATCTATAATTGTTAGAATTTAAAAAAGTCAACAGGTATCTTATCTTTTATTAAGAAGATAATTTTCTTCGAAGATGAAAAAAGTTTTATTTGACGAAGGAATGTGAAATAAATTTTATAAAAGTTAGTAAAGTAGTAGATTTATATTCGATGAAACCTGAAACTCTCTCATAATGCGAAAGGAGCACGAAAAATTACACGACCATCTTTATAACGATGTCAAAATGAAAGTCACGTGGGCAACTAAATATCGTGTAATATTTATGCATATTACGCTTAATTATAGGTGTGCGTGACGAAAGAAGTGAAGCAAGTATCGCTTCCACTAATGGCGTTGTTAAATTACAACAAATTTAAATGCATTGCACAGAGAAGGACTGATAAGATATATCAGAAATTATCACCATCGATTTTTGCAACGTAGATGTAAAGTTTAAATTCTGCAACTAAATTGGAAACTTTGCTCTGAGAGCTATACCAATTTTTTTTGTCAAATCTTCGAAATTATTACACGTAAATTTCGTTAAAAAATAACAAAAATTGAAATGTATATTATTCATTCTATCTGCATGGCATGATATTTACAAGAGATTCAAATGTAGGTTATAAAAAAATAGAATAAATAAAATGTACAAAAATATATGCTTTATCAAGTAAAATGAAATATATTCCAAGATGCAGCACTTTCGTATTAATAAATTGAAAAATGATAGTATTTCGTAAAAGTTTTAACAACTCTTGATACTGAATTCTAACTCTAGACCCCCTTAATTTAGAATAATAATGGCGCGTGTTAAATTTACTTTTAGCTCTATTATCCACAGAGCTATTACTTTTTACAAAAGAACTGGTATTGTATCGAAATTTAAAATAGCAAATACCACGAAATCTCGACAGTTCTATTAAACGTGAAAACGAACACTCCATTCGTTCTATCGTTCCTCACTTGTGTGCTAAAATGCAAACTGTGCGAGAGAGAGAGAGAGGAAGAGAAAGAGTGTACTCTTGTACCCTTTCAAAGTAGTAAAAAGCTCGGATTGTACTACAAATAGTTCTCATAATATCTGTATAAGTATTTGTTATTCTTCTATTTGATTACAATAATTTTAATCTTAACTTAAAAACTTAAACTCAATGTTGATTCAGATCATCCAGAACGACACAGTTCGAAAAAGTCAAAAAGAAAAGTTAAGAAATTCAACGATTAATTTTTTTTTCAAATCATAAATTATTGCTAGCTCGAGATATTACCCGCCATTAAACTTAAAGAACGTTTCGACAGGAATTAATAATTAGCCCAGAACAGTGTGGACGAAAGTTGGCGGTGTTTGAGTGTACGTACCGGTGTTTCAGGAGAAAGCTTAGCCGAGCTGCATCACGGGTCCGCGGAGGTCGCCAGTAGCGGTTCGTTGCTGCTCCTCTTGTGCGTCTTTCTCGGTCGGATACAACAGGTGCTGAGATGAAGGATCGACCAGTTTCGTCGCTTCCTCGCTGCACCACAATACACAGAACTTTTATATTATCGTTGAGAGAATGGACGTAGCCACACGTGAAGAAGAAACGAGCAAGGAAGAAACGTGAACGAAGGAGAGGAGGGCGGTGAATGCAAAAAAAAAACTTGAAAACTCTGCGAGAGGAGAATGGGCTTGAGGCGTGGGGAAAGGTTGGCAGCATTGGTCCGCCATTGTCTTTCTGCGTCGCTCGCATCCTTGATTCCATCTGTCAAGTTGTCAGAGCGCTTCGACTTCGCGTTTTTTGTCCTTCCAGCTAGTGGGCCACTGATGGTTAATCGGAAGCTGATGAATCATCCTGGGAGGAGGAATTTGTCGGTGATTGGTTGGATTCGAGGACAAGGAAGTTTAAGAGAGGTTAAGATTCGCCTTGTGCCTTTGTATTTCGGTTTTCGGGGTAGTTTGGAGTTTTGTTTCTATAGGGTGGAATTAACCCTTATGTCGATATTTCGAGTATCTTTTGTTGCTTTTATGACGGAGGGGAAGATATTTGGATACTTTCTTCTTCGTATTTGCACAAAATTCTAAAATATTTTCAAATTTAATTTTAATTATTACTCGATGTATTTGTATATCGATTTATATTCTTAGATTATTAGATCTTTAGAGGATTTTTTTGAAATTTTACAAGTCGAATGATGTCGACAATTCGGTCAATATTATTGATATAAGGGTTAAGGGTAAATTAATTCGATAAGTTAGTCGTACTAATCCAAATGTGTATACATTTCATATCCATTTTAGGTGTCTCGCAATCTAACGTGGATGTCAGGTGCATATCTTTTACTAAGTTAATTCGTATAATTGAAAATATCATTCTCATTCATTCTACATTGATCCTGATGTATGATAAATCTTGAAATCATCGAATACATAATCAAGTTTATGATAATGAATGCGTACGAAAATATAGAAATATATTTACGATTTTGACATATCTTCTTGTTCAACGCTCGGATAGACTGAATTACCAAGTAATTAAAACCAGGTATAGAAGAGAAAAAAAAAAAACTTAACACATTCACCGTCTATATTTGTATTGTACAAGAAAAATATTTTTTCTTTTTACGTTAAAATCTTAGAATTAAATACGAATTAAAATTATCTTAATATCTTTCATACGAATGGATAGTAAACGTGTTAAGTTTCATTTCAGAATAATCAATCATTCCATACTTTTATATTTATTTCTCTTTCATTTTGTACGGAGAAAATGATAGGAACATGGATTATCATAGAATTCCTTATTTCCCCTATTTCAACTATTCTGTAATTTTATATGTCAAAAGTCAAAATATTCCATGTTCCAATCATTTCTTTCGTGTTAAGTCTTATCGAGAACCAATACTAAAAGGAATCATCGATAAAAAAGAAGAAACCTCTCGGTAATCAGAATCATTCTATCGTGCAAGGAAACAAAAAATCGAAGCACAATATGTAACTAAAAATTCCTTCCTCCCTGAAATTAAAACATTTCTCCTAAATTTTTCAGAAGATTTTGTCCCCGGCACAAAAATCGATGCAAAGGAAAAAAAAAAAAAAAAGAAACTTCCGCGAAAAGTCGGTCCTCGATCGAATTTCCATAAACGCGTTCCACAATCGTCGAAGCGTTCCAAATAAGTGTCGGGTGCAGGGACGTCGACAAAGGAAGTACGAGCCATGCGCCACCGATTTCCTATAGGACGCGTGTCGGTGAAGTTCGATTATGCCCGGAAACCATCTCGACGTCCCTGTATTTCCTTATTCACTGCCGCTCCAGATCCTTCTTGAGAAGCAAGTTTTATGGGGCACGATGATCCTTCTGAACGATCCTATCTTGACGTGTGTTCGTTGAAAAAAAAGAAAAAAAATACAGCCGCGATAAAGTTATATATATATCGATGATCGAGCGTCTTATTTGTTTCAGAAACTGAACGATTCGAGGATTGTTCAAATTTGTTTAATTGTTGAATCCTCTTTTGTTGAATTAAATTATTTGGACGGAATTTAATAAATCGATCGTTCAATAAAATAAAATTCATATGAACTTCTATATGACGCGAACAAGGATAGAATTAACTCTTCCTTTTTTAATCTTCTTTATTTTTAATAAAATTGATATACCTCAATATAATTATTTCCAGGTTAATGTTGAACTATCCTCGGGGGAAAAGAAATAAGATTGTCGATTGTGAGATATATTTGCCTAGATACGGACCACTTGAGCGAGGCTCGAATTATCAGTATTATCTAATTTTTTAAAGAGCCAGATTAAAGAGCGAGTGAAAGAACCGGAAGTCATCAAGAGTGCGCAAAGTCGATGGCCTAGGCGAAGCGGTATCGTCGAGAAGGGCGCGATCGATGGCGAATTAATCGCGTTGTGAACGTTATATTCGCGAGTAAATCACTCTGATTTATTTCGAAGAATGTTGAACAAGTGATAAAAAGAAAAAGAAAAAAAAAAAAACAAGTTGCGTATGCATGATTCGTTGAAGAGAGTACGTACGGGTGTGCTTAATTCGTAACAGCGACACTAGCGCCACGTTTGTACATATGTATGTATACTTTACTAATTAACGAGAAATTTGTTATTTCTTTTTATTGTTGAGAAATTGTATGGGATAAGCGCGCGAGTCCTGAAAAATGAAAGTGACACGAATGAAAAAATATTTGATAAATTGAGCCATCTTGAAACTACGAAAAATGTAAAAATTCTCAGACGGAATTTCAAATGTTTCTTCGACAACTTTCATTTTAACGGACGAATACAAATTGAAATGATGTTGTTCATTCGAAGAATGAAATATTCTTTGGAAATTATTGAGGAAAGATTATTGGAAAATGGATGGAAAATTGTGTTACGAATTAAGGATCGGGTAATTTGTAAAGCGACTTAATGGGGCACAGTGGGATGTGAAAAAAAAAAAAAAGAGAAACATAACTGCCAACCTGATCCCAAGCTCATCAATTAAGTGATAATGAAGAGAAATTTTTAAAGCGATGGCAGCTAACGCGTTTTACATAAAGTCAATTTTTTTTTTTTTTTCGGGTATTCGATGATCTATCCGCTCCATAGATCAAATAGCTCGAAGAGCAATCGAGTGTCTCTGTATCGAGACAGATCGCGCAGTAATACTCGATAAAATCGACGTAAAATTCAAAGTTTTCTCCGACGGCAAAATTATGAAATATACGATATGCGTTTTACAAGACGTTGTTCCTTTCATTTATATATTCGCAGTTTAAAGAAAAAAAAATTTTCTAAACAACTTTGTTAAAAAATTATTACATTTTATATTTTATCGCTAAATTTTATTCCCCTTTTAGATACAATGTTAATTTCTTCTTCACAAAACGTCATCATGAATATATTTTTTCTCATGTAACCAGATGGATAACCAGAAAGTAATATTATAAAGGTAAGTGATACTTATTAATTAATTTCCATAAAATTCTTCATTTGTATCCAATAATACCAATATTTCTAGCTTTGTAAAAGGATCTAAAGACAAGTTACAAAGCAAGGAAAGAAATATTCATTAGTTTCAAAATTCTGAACACACTCTCTTTTTAAAAACTCTTCTCTTAAAGTCGCGCGAATAATGTTTCACGTTTCGAAATTGTCTCCATGGTTCTGAATAAAACCAATTCTTCGAAGAGGTCACAGAAATACATCTTGCCGAATCTCGAATCGCACTCGAGAAGGGATTACCCCTTTTTCATCGGAAACGTCCACTTTCGTCTGGACAAACTGGCTCCTTCTAAGAACAAGTTCCACTATCAGATCCCAGGTAACCGGAGATTGAAGTTTCAAAAAGACAGCAGACGGGCGCACAAACCATGCTTCAGTCCCGTCACCTGCGTCTGAGAGAATGCAGAGAGAGAAAAAGAGAGAGTGGAGTCATCGACAGATTGGACGTCGCTCCATCGATCCTTGTTGATCCCACGGCAATTCTATTTATCCGTCACTGGCCCACGAACAAATCAGATTTCTCTCTGACGATCTATATTTTTCTCTCTGATCCGCCATTATTGGCCATGCCTGTTCGCTCAGGATGAAATGAGATAATTTGAGATAGGAATTGGCGTCACAAAATTTTGAATAAAGGGTGAGTTTGCAGAACTTGCTTTTCGCTCGCCACGAGTTAAGAAAAATGCTAGTGTTGTGGATTTTAATATATTTGTTCGTACGTAACGTCAATTTAAAAGTGTAATTTTAATAGGGAAATATATATAAATATTTCAATCGGATTAATTTATTTTTTTATTAATTCTAGGTTAAAATAATGGATTTACATTTAATCGTTTGCTATTACTGTGTTTATTTCGCATCAGGTATAAAGTGATCGTTGATTGGTTGGTAATTGTCCATTGATTGTGACGATGATATTAATTATCAATTTTTTCTTAATATATCTACAGTATCTTTCGATTCAATTATGTTCAACACTTCAAGCTCAAGGTGTTACTATTAGCGCAATATATCGTACGAAATAGATCGAGTTTAACCAGTTGACGTTTGAATGATTCCAGTTGGGGAACAAGTAGACGCAGACGCAGGCAAGCGAAGATCAAACTAGTTTTCGAGACGATCGCGTGCACGTCGATCTCTTCTACGAGTTCTATGCTTCGTAAAATCGATTGCGAGCCATTGCATGAGCAGACAGGAAGGCTGATTAGACAATCCCTTTAAGTAACTCCATAGGAGAAGCTTACCTTATCTGGGTCAATTTCTTAAATTATTTTATTCGAGATAACGCTTCGATAAAGCTTACATTCGCAATTAATCGTTCAATGATTGAATTTATTTCTTTCAAAGAATCGAATTCGTGTTAAAAACACGTCAACTTAACTTTTTCAATATTGAAGATAATTTTCAACAAAAGAGATATCTTTAAAAAAATTTCTATCAACTATTAAATTCCAATCTGAAAATTTACTTTTCAATTTTTCTCTGCCACAACTTCTTCGAGTTATAACAGTAGGAGAAATCTTATCAAGTTCAAAAATTCGAATGATACGATTCTCCTCAAATCGTTTGAAAGTTGCACGAAAGACTTGAACCGTGTCTCGATCGATTGGAATACGTAAACGACGAGAAGTTTTTGCGCAAAAATTTATTGAGGAAACGATAATTTCCATCGTGTCGCAACAGATACATTTCTTATTTTTATTCTGAGCTTTATCT